GTTCTTTCTTGAGTTGGGAAGAAAGGCTACTGAATTATAGCAGATGGTAGAAAGATGCTCTTTATCCTAATCTCTACTTCTCCTGGGCACAGGGAGCTTATATGAAAGCCATCCATCATTTGTGTTCTCAAGGAGAAGGGGTAAGCTGGCAGAGGGGCAGAGGGGAATGGACATTACCTCCACCTCTAGTTTCCTATCATTGGCCCTCAAGCTTGGTACTTTAAGCTATGACAGCACTCACACCTGAGTATTGACAGTGTTCCCCTAAGGTCTTTTCTGTGAGGCCCTATACCATTATCTGTTTTGAAACACACATATTAGGTACTGCTAGATTATTGTGTTTATGACAGAAGTAAACAAAATTTCTTTCCAACAATATCAAAAAATTCCTTAACTTATTAGTAAATAAATATATCTAGTCTGTACTTAGTAAAGCCAGTTTATAGTTAAGTCACTAAAGCCAGTTTATTAGTTACAGCTTTGAGTCAAGATAACTCTTGATTCTCTAAGCATCATTAGATATACTGACAAATCCTTAATTACCTGATAAATGAAGACAATTAAGTTCTAGTAAAAAATTTATTGAACACCTACTAAGTTTCAAGTACTTTGAAAAACAGTATAATCTTTTTTTTAATGTATTTGGTACAGGGTCTCACTACACAGTTCAGATTTGTAGTGATCCTCCTGCTTTCAGCCTTCTCAGCACTGGGACTACAGGTATGCACCACCACGCCTGGTCTCACTGGCCTGCTCAGTGCACACAGGGCGGGCTGGCATGGCATGTGGTGTGGAGGATCAAACCTGGATCCCTGCGCTTGCCTAAGCAGATGTTTAGTCCACTGAACTATCTCACTGGCCCTGCAACAGTATAATCTCACATAAGACAATATAATCTTGTTTTTGACAAACAAGACAAGTAACCTGTACCCTAATAAAGTTTTCAGTCTTTAAATTTGGACACAATCCAAGCATTTACTCAGCCACCATTGCTGCATACCTCCTTTCTTGTGCAAAATTTAGGACTCTGTCCTACTTCAACCATTGTCAAGCTCCAGCCCCCAGTGAGTCCACTTCCTCCTTTTATTCTTCTCCCCAGCTCCAGCCCTACCCCCATGTCACCCTTTAGGACTGCTGTGTATGTTCCTAGCTCTTTTCTTGTACAAATTCAGTAAATTTATGGAGCATCTATAGTTCGCAAAGCTCTGCACTGAACACCAAGACAGGTTACTAGATCCATGAGATTCAGTGACTTCCTTCCCACACCCAGGCGCCATGAAAGTATGTAAGTAGCACAGGCTGGTGAAGGACCCCTGAAGCTGGAATGACTGACTGTAGTGAACACAGACCTAAGATATTTTTTGCAGTTGATGATGAAGAGGGTGGTGCAGAGATGGAAGGAGTCAGCAGTGCTCATGCCCCTCCTTTCCTATACTCCAGGAAGTGCAGCTACTTTGTCCCTGATGCAAAGCTGGCCAGTGACTCTGTCCTCTGGACACTGAGCCCTTTCTGCGGACAGGCTTGTCCCAGCAACCATGAAGCATGT